TATGATAATGGGTCATCAAGAACAGCATCCTCTGTTATGACCTAGGCCTAACCTAATCTGAGTATCACCCGTTCTACTCCGTGCTAAAAACTGCGTACGAACGTCTGTCATGTCTGTGTTGTGTCTGTGTTAACGGGACTGCAGACAGCCATGATGCATGTGACCTTTATGGTGTATTATTCAGGCCATCGGAAATTATTATGCATGCAATTTAGCAAATGCTGATTGGTTCCCTTGGAAAGCCGAGGGAAAATAAAGAACAAGTTGAAACTCTGATGCAAGATTCCCAAGATTCCTATGCTGGCGCATAGTCTAATTATGAGTCGTTAGGGGGCACACTACGCACGCTGTCCATTATCAAGCACTGACGTCTTGAAACCAAGACTATCTTGGTCCAAGACCAGTCACTACCTGGCACCAAAATCCCTTGAGAGCCCTTAGCTGAATTCGAAATGAAATCAGAAACCATCAGCCCAGCTGTTGCCCAAGAAGGATTTCTGTCATGGTCACTGTAATTCCCTTCCATTTAAGTTGAGGTCATCCAACCTGATACTTCAAAACTGGTGGTGCAGTATGAGACCATTGCCGTTCCAGCTCAGTGCTGGACTTAAGCCTCTTGGAACCCTCCCCCTTTTCAAGTCAGAAAAGTTGTTGGCCAGACTTGTCCATCCAAGCAGAATCATTCTCAATGTCACACCATTCTTTAAGAAAGATTCTGCGAAAAGACCCTAGAGCTCTTTTGATTCGTATCTTTTCAGGCCACGGCAGTTTGTAGTAGCAAGCACTCTTCAGCATTTATCTTTCTTTTTTCCTTAAGATTTAGGGATCATTCCTGGCAAACCATGGAGGAAGGAACACAGCAAACCAACCACCTCTCCCGGACCTGTCACCCTCACTGTTGCGTACGGTGGGGCAGACGGGGATGATACAGACGGTCACGGAGGCAGTGACACCGATATCGACGCAGGAGGAACGCTTCAGGACGTCAATATAGGAAGTACAGTTCCACCCCAAGGTCCTCCACAAAGTGACTTGGAAAACCCACAGGCCCAAAATGGTTCACCAGGATTAGGTATGATATTACTCCGTGAATCATTTCAAGTCGCTGCACACTGTCGTGGTAAAAACCCTGCATAAGAATGTTGGAAATCAAAAAATTTATTCTGCAAAAACAAAAACAAACACCGAGAAAACAAAACGTGGGCAACATAATTTTATTATGAAAAACGTAGAAATAAAACAGTAGCAAACCGTTGTCACTGTCGTGGTTTATGCAGTTTTGAATCAGTACACATTCTCGTCAATGTCCCCCATTTTCAAGGGTGCTTGTCCAAACGTCCCGACTGTAGACAATTCTTAAGAACTTGAATTTCTTTCGGAAAATAGCTCGTGTAATTTTAATAATCCTTGATCCACAGGTGTGCCACTGATAACTGCCATTGTCGTCGTAGTCGTTGCAATTCCTAGTTGTATGCTCGGGGCATTCGTCTTCCAGAGGAGACATGGTACGCTTTAAAAATTTGTCTTTAAATTGCCCATTAATTCAAAGCGTAACATTTACTTACCAAAGGATGTAAAAGATATCATGTTGTTATCAGAACATGAATGAGGTCTTAACTAAATTTAGAGCCCCTATAAACGAGTGTAAGTTGTAGTAATTAGTTCCGGCTGACTGTCACAATGACGACCCAGTAGATTTCATTCATCTAGCTAGATCTCTCCGTTTTAAAAGGTGTCCCTTCTCGAGGTACACCAACACCAGTACTTACCTGGACCTCCAAAAGAGATATACATGTAAACAACTGGCAAAGAACACTAAAATCAAATTTTAACCCTGAACGATCTCGTTCCTACTGGTTATTGTGAGGAGGTACTTGTCGCGCTGTATGCAGCACACGAAAGACCAAACTAACTGCGCGATGACTAAACAGATTATGCATTTCCCCTTTCTCTCGGTTTCAGCCCCATTTCAGCGTTTGCCTGTGCAGGAGACGAACCCACCTGATCCAACCACCCCATTTACATGTACCAGTGGGGATCTGACGGGCTTTATACCGCCGAATCATGAATTCTCAGAGAGTGAGGCCAGCCTTTAGGGAATCAACAACCAAAGCTCTGATTTTTTCAGTTTCCTTTTCTGTGTAGGGCCAATACGTACTTCCCGTTGCGTTTCTAAAGGTGAAAAAGATGGGAAATATAAAAGCAAAACAGTAAAAAATGTTCACTGAGCCAGCTAGTATTTGCGTTTTCTTGCAAAATGAAGGGCTTCCGAGACAACCTCAACTCCATTGGCTGCGTGCACGTTCCTTCACTTTGATCCCCAAAAACATGGCGTGGCAAGATCATACCCGGAGAACGAGGTTGCGTCTGAGGTTGTTAGGGATGGCGCTATTTGTTCTCGCTTTTAACCTTGCACTTCTGAAATACCGAAATGACTTATTGGTTCCTAACTACGCAAGAAGAAATAAGTATCTGAAGATCTACAGGGTTGGGAGTTTTACGTTAAAAACACTAAAAAATATTAAACAAAAAAATGGCTATTTCCAATTCAGAATCTGCCCAGCGATAAATACGTGATTGCGTACCGAGGGATGAGGTCCCCTTGGATATTGACCCAATTGAAGGGGAAACTTTATGAACAGGTACCGTCACATGGTTGGGCTTGGCCTACAACAAGTAGTTGTAGGCCAATTTCCCTGTCGCAGAGAGGAGATTTACATTTTCTTTTTACAGGAGAATATTATAGAGTACATGTACTAAGTGGATATGTCACATATGAGCGTGCATTAATCTCCATTCTAAAGTCTTGATGATGGAGATCAATGTTAGTGCAAGAACTAGTGCGTAAACCAACACAGAATACGCACGTGTGCATGTATAGAGGGGCTCGTGGGGTACTGGAACAATGGAAGATACCCCACAAGGCCAGTTTTGAGTACTAAAATGGTACCCCACAAGATTTTCACATAACAGATATTTCAAATTTACTCAAAAAAGGAGGAATTTTCGAGTGTCATTCATCGTAACAAAATGAAGTATTTTAAATAGGGGACGTTCAGTCGAATTTCCATGGTAGGAAAGTGAATATTGTTCGAATGAGAGTGATTTGAAATTTTTTGCGTGTTGTGTGGAAGTGGAAGTTTGTTCACGAGAACAAAGAAAATACCCACAAGTATAGCTGTGTAAGAGAGTTTTTTCTGCATTCAGTTAAGTCTTCTAAAAAAGTTAGAGTACAAACAAAAGAGGAACAATAGAGGGTCCCCAGTTGCAGGCAAATACACACTTGTGTGTGTGTGTGTTGGTTTACACTACACATTCATCTCCATTCTAAATTCTTTTAATGGAGGTCAATGGCATTACACACTCTGGTTCCGTGAATGATGTCACTCTGTATAGTGTTCCGAAGCGTGACATCATTTAGATATACACTGCAAAAACTGTCATGTTAAAATTAACTCTTTTTGGTGTTATCAGATGACCACACCATAGGGTGTAACTTTAACACCACTGGTATTACTTTGCACACCAATCAGAGTTACAATGCACTGGGGGTGTTGAAAGTAACATCAAATATCACCAAAATTTTAACACCAATGAAGTGTTGGTGTAGTCCTCTGATAACACCGGGGGTGTTAAATTTAACACCCCAGTTTTTGCATTGTACCCTAGAGCTATATAGCTCTATGTATATAACTTATAGTTTGTTTGTAATTTATTGATGGTTTTGACAAATCATGCAAATATTTTCTTACACTAAATCAGGTTATAAGTAACTCCAACTATCTCTGCCGTCGGTTGGGTGTTGAAAATATAATTCTCCTCAAACCAGGGCTTATTATACGCCTAGTCGTATCCAGAACTATTTTTCTAGATTGTTCATTTAATATGTAACTACGGAGAGACCTTGGCAGAAATTTGATTTTTTATAATATGAAAAGAATCACTATTTTTCGCTGTATTCATTTTGCATATTTATCGTATGTAAGAATTTTTTAATGTTTTTATTTCTCTATACATTATACTTGATAGTACTCTACGAAATAAAGTTGTAAAGGTATTCATACACCCAGGAAGAAAATTTCACACTTAACCCTGTGATCAAAATAAAATATGACCCTCAATTTAAAAACTTAAGTACTGTTTTTAATATTCATGTATAATTATAAAAACAAACATATATATAACAAGAAAACACATCTGCATAATTTCAAAATGCACGGAAATATGTTAAAAATTATAGTTTTCACGACCCTATTTCACCCCCCCTTCTCGGAGCAAAAGCTAAACAACAGCCGTCGGGGATAGAAAGTTGTCTGAAAAAAATTCCCACGAATCATGACGTCATAGGACGGACTCCTTTATCCGGCGACTGTTTAATGTTACGCACCGACGCGTAGAAACTATTTTCAAAAATTACATTTCAAACGATTCTGTTCAACAATTTTACTTTATGTTTTTCAAACACCCCTCTAATCATATTACGGTATGTACCTCATGCGAGGAGTTGTAAACAATCCGACACCATGACAGGTTCTCAACCGATCCATTACTTTAGGTTCCCACGTCATTGTTTTCTGACCACTCACAGCCTTGATGTTCAGTATGTGCCAAAAGTCCTACATACATGAGTACACGCGCGTATGATGCGTGCAGCCAGGAGGACCATATGGGGTGCGTTCGATCATTTTACACGTGTAAGTCAAACTTACACGAGAGCGTTCGTTTAGCCATCACGTGATCCTCAGCCACTACGACCCCAGCTGGCGAGCGGGTCTCTGGAGGCTGCCCGAGTGTAATGACGTCACGGATAGACTGTTCGTGCATGGACGTACATTGTGGAACGTGGCGGGGACTTGACCTTTTTCCCAGAATGCCTTGGCGAGTACACTAC